CTAACTATATATATATATATAATTTTTTTTCTTAAACTAGTTGACTAAATTATGACCTTAGAATTTTTTAGAAATTATGTGTATATTATTTTTGTCTGATCCTTTATATATCATAACAAACCTACACAGACCTTCATCTCTTGCTTAGGCTTTCTCATTTTTTCTATTTTGGAAAATATCTCCACTCCCATATCCTTTTAACATCTTTTATGTTCTCTTTTTCTTCTTTTTTTAAAAATTATTTTGAGATATAATAGCATTAGCAAATAAATTTTCCATCTGTTGGAAGAATTCTTTTCCTGGAGATACTAAGCCATGCTTATTCCCTTTTAAGGTTCTAGTGTCAAACCAATGTTTGATTAAAGTCTTACTGGGGAACCAATGAATTTACTGAACTTACTTACCAGATAACTGAGGGGTTGCTAAGGTGTGCATATGACCTGAGGGTATGCACACTGGAAAGCCTTAACCCAGCATGGGTCATGCCTTCTCTTCCTAGCCTTCCCCAGATTGTAGACTTTGGCCCTCCCCAAATCCAGGAGACCATGTGTGATTAGGGCCAAACTACATACAGTTGGCTGAGAAGAGTGGCTGGATACTCTGGTGAGGGTCCAATGACCCTGCTTGGCCCTCCTTTAATGAATGAGCACAACCATCAATAAGCCCAATTGTGACGATATTTAGCAATCACACACTTAGAGCTTGGCTGAATCCAAAGTGTATAAACAGACGAGAAGTTATAAAATGCAGGTCTACTGAAATCCAGAATTTAAGATGAAGTTCTGAATGTATTTTTAAATGTAAGCTTATGCTCACAAGGTTTTCACTTTTAATATAGTCTTATTTATAATTGATCCACTTAAATGTAATATTTTTGTAGGTAATTAAGTATCTGTAGTTCTCACAATGTTCTCCTTAAATAAAATGTTCGATGTCTTGTGAAATGGTTACTCCTGGGTTAGTATTTAGAGTTTCAGAGATAAAATGTGTAGTTACTTTTAATGAATTTTGTAAATTAAACTGTTTTAGAAGGCTTTGGGTGTAGCTTGATGAGAGAATGCTGCCTAGCATGCCGTAGAGTCCTGGGTTCCATCCCTGGATCCCTACAAGAAAAGCAAAGGAGGGGAAGATGGGAAGGGAAAAAGAAAGGACCTAAAAGTGTCTTGGAACCTCTAGCCCACACACTGAGCTACTTTTCACAGACTCACCAAGAGAACCCCACCGTTGGCCTCGCGATCGCAGTCTGGGTGGGCAGAGAATTGTGCCAAATGCCCTGAGGAAGCTGCATGTCCTGAGATTCTGGAAGGAGGACTCAGGCCCTCCTTGGAGAGCTAGTAGTGGAGCTGAATCTGAGGCATGATGACAACTGGATCAGACAGATGAGGTAGAAGAAGAGCACCATGAAATTAACGTGCCAATGAAGGAGAAAATGCAGGAGGAAACTAGAGAACTCGAGTCACTTAAGAGGTCAGAGTGCCTTTCCAGAAAGAAATGACAAGACAGAAAAGGGGACAGTGAGGACAGATGTGCAGAGACAAAGAGGCAAGTGGTTAAAGGAGTGAAGTCGTATGCTAGACTACACATGGGTGTCTGCCGTGAAGTGAGAGAAGAATAACATGGGGGAGGAAGGATATGCTGTGGCTTTTCCTGGGAAGACATGAGCAGCCAGCCATTCACCACAGACAGGGAGCTGAGATCCACAGAAAGAATTCCACTTAAGACTAGCTTGATGAACCAGTGAGTTTACTGGGATTAGCCACAGCAGAATGGGTGAAGAGTTACTTACAAGAGCATGAGTGACCGAAAGACAGATGTGTTCCAGAGACACTCACACTAGCGTGGGTGACAGCTCATAAAAGTTGCATCCTTAGAGCTCTTTGCTGAAATTTCGGGCGACTATACTGAAAAGCGTCTCTTCTATTCCAACAATTATCTACTGCTGATATAACCTTGGGGAGGTACCTTAAGATTCTGGTTGTTTCTCTGAACTTTCTAAGTCTTGATAATCTCATGAGCCTCCTAACTTTGTCAGTTTTCTGAGCTTCCTGAGTCTTATGAGTTTCCCTCCTAGATCTGGGGGTGGGGGTTCAATTCAGAGGAAATAGCTGTAGACCATAGCATGATGCTAAGTCTTCTGATTGACATCACTTGGTGCCATTTATAGGATGATAGCACAACACAGACCTGGTATGTTGATGTGGGGTTTGAGCCATCTCTTAATAAATGTCCTTGAGAACATCAGTAACTACTTGAAGAGTTTCTCATTTATTTGTCCCTTGTCCATAATTTAGACTGTGTATACATGTATGCATGTGTGTGTTTGTATGTGTGTGCATGTTTTAGTAAAATATCTTTTGCTTTGTTGATACCCTCTTGTCAGAATAACTGGATAAAAACTAACTCCATATAATCAATTGGTACATATGTTTTGAGTACAAAATAAACATTGCTTTTCTTTTAAGAGATTATTCATTATCTTAAATGATATACACATAATAAAAATCACTCCAGCTCAGTGTGTGTCTCCTTGTTTTCATTAGGAGATCCTGGATGCTCTACAAAAGGCAGAGCCTAGGACGGAGGATCTCAAGTCTCAGCTAAATGAACTTTGCCGATTTTCCAGAGACCTGAGCAGATACAGTGGGAAAGTCTCAGGCTTGATTAAAGAATATAATTGGTGAGCATGACCCTCCCTACTGTTCTTTACATTTGTATTTCTTTTGAGGTGGAGTCTCACTATGTTGCTTTGGAGGACTTTGAACTCCTGGGCTCAAGATCCTCCTGCTACAGCCTTAGTTGTAGTTAGGTATAATCCTGGTATTACCATCATAATTTCCTTCAAATTATTTTTATACAGAGTGTGAGCCAAGCTGAGCATGGGGTGCTTGTCTTCAGTTCTAACCACTCAGGAGACTTATGAGGATGGAGACTAACCTGGGCAGCATAGTGAGACCCTGTGTTTTAAAAACTTAGATGAAGAAGCCAGAAGGGGTTTTAATGATATAACTTTAGTAGTAATATTAACTAAGCATTAAATATATTACTAAATTAGGTAAATGCACATCCTGAGAACTGCTGATGATTTTATTAAAGATTGTTTAAATCAACTTTATCACTTTTCTTCTTTTATTAAATTTTCAAATCACCCCTTCAGTCTTTGTTTGCAAGCATCCAAGGGCTGCCAGAACAAAGAACAGATTTTGCAGCAAAGATTTCGAAAAGCCTTCAGGGACTTCCAACAGTGGTTGGTTAATGCAAAAATTACCACTGCCAAGTGTTTCGATATACCTCAGAATATTAGTGAGGTCACAGCGAGTCTTCAGAAAATCCAGGTAAGAATTTTGCCAATAATTCTAATAACAGTGCTGAGTTAGATTAATAGGTGACTCCAGATCTTTTTAGAAGTGCCTTATATATGAAAGTTTTGCTTAATAATTTTAAATTTCGAATAAATCCACCATTGAAATAATCAAAGGGAAACTAGTCATTCATATATGTAAGTACATGCATTATATTTTGTATATTAATAAGGGTTTAGGAAATAATATAATCTTTTGTGTGTAATAATCACTGTGCCTGAGCACTGAAAGTGGATTTTTCATTTAATTTCCACTCTAACCATAGCAGGTAGGTAAGACTATTACTCTCAGCATGGCAACAGATAAAGGAGTCTCAGTGAGGTCAGAGAACTGATGCTCAAAACAGCCTGAGCTGCACTCAGATGTGAGGTTTGCTTGTTTGTTTGGGTTTTATTCTAATAGTCCCCTCACCTAGCTGCAACTTCGTGGTGCCATTTTAACCACCACCTAAAACCTCAACACTTTTTAGACACAGTAGTGTCTCTGTCTTCCATACGTGTGAGGTTTATGGGTCTTATTATTTTGTATACTGGCAATATTGTGCTGATGTTTATGAAAGTAGAATTTCTTTCCAAAGAAATTATGAATATAGAAAACTATGAAGAAGTTCTCATGCAAAAAGTTTGTCTCTGAAATAGTATTGTTCATATTTATTTCACTCTTTGAATCTTGGTTCATAATGTGATGAGATAAATTTTGCTTTGAAAACGTGCTCCATTTAAAAGTCTTCCAGTCTTGCTCTAGGCTAGGGAATAGAACTTTGAAAGTCCAATCACAAGTTTATTTGTATTGCAGAAACCCAGTGCTGTTTTGAGGACAGGCTTTTTTTCTGACCCTTAGTCCAGTTCCTTGTGTGAAACAGTCATCCATAAAAACAGATGTCCTAGTGAAATTCTGTATTGGACCATGTTTCATGATTACAATGAAATACTCAAGGTAGCCTGGTGTATAAAGAAATAAGTTTCAGGCTGGAGAGATGGCTCAGAGGTTAAGCGCACTGGCTACTCTTGCAGAGGACCAAGGTTTGATTCCCAGAACCCGTATGGTGGCTAACACCACCTGTAACTCCAGTTCCAGGGGATCTGACAGCCTCTTCTGACCTCTGCGTGCATTGCCTGACACGGATGCATCTACCTACATGCAATCATACACACATACACATAAAATAAATAAAATTAAATTTTAAAAAGAAATAACTTTCTTTAGCTCACAGTTGTGAAGGTTCAAGGATGTGACTCTGGAATCAGCTTAGCTCTAGGGAGTACATCGTGGCAGACAGTACCCAATTATAGGAGGAAGGAATCACACCAGACAGAGGCAAGTGTTTATTCGGCTTATCTATCATTAAAGGATTTTAGGGCAGAAACTCAAAGCAGGAACCTGGAGGCAGGAACTGGAGCAGAGGCCATGGAGGAATGCTGCTTACTTGCTTGCTCAGCTACTTTTCTTACACGGCCCAGGCCTACCTTCCCATGAATGGGTTCACACTGGGCTGGGCCCTCCCATATCAATTAAAAATTAAGAAAATGCCCCACAGACATGCAAGCCTACAGGCCAGCCTGATGGAGGAAGTTCCTCAATTGAGGTTCCTTCTTCCCGGACTCTAGTTTGTGTCAAGTTGACAAAAACCAAACAGCACAAAGCTAAATAGACAAGGGAGACTTTATACAAGACTGCTGGGGTAGGAAAGAAAGATTGACCTTGACTCTGCTGAAACAAAAGGCAAGAGAGTTTGAAGAGTGGATAAGCCAGTGAAGGAATGCTGGGGGACATTGGTGGGGAAATTGATCATCAGTGTTTTGTAAGTGATGGAAAGTTAGTCTCCTCCCTTCCCACAGGGACTAGGAAATAGGAACCCTGGTTTTGCAGTCATCATTTATTTTTTGAGACAAGGTCTCCCTATAGTCTCAGCTGACCTGGAACTCACTATGTAGACCAGGCTGGCCTCGATCTCACAGGGATCTGTCTGCCTCTGCCTCCTAAGTGCTGGGACTACAGGCGTGCACCACCATGCCCAGCTTAAAAATCGGTTCTCTTAACGGCCTGTTCCTAAAGCCTAAGAACCTCCCATTAGTTCTTGCTGAAGACCAAGTTTTCAACATAGGAATCCTTGGGAGACAAACCATCTCCAGACTTCAATCAAAGTCTTTTCATTAAAGTTCATAGCGCAGAGTATCTATGCTTATGTTTCTTGCCAGAAGAAATAAACTTGAGATTATTCATTTCTTCTCTAATACCTCAAAATATTAATTGGCACTGGCTCTAACATGTAGAATCTACTCAGCCATCTATCGAGAGGGAGACCAATCTTTGGAAATATCTTGATGTTGGGAAAACTACACAATGTGGCCATACTTTATGAAATTATACTTTCATATTATGCCATGAACTGGTTCTTTATAAGAACAGCCCTATAAAATATCTTGTTATTATTTTTTACAAACCACTCACAACAATGTCACCTATGTCATTTAATAGCATTTATTTAATTGAAACTCACCATAGAAAGTCTTCTGGTGTCTTCTGATAGGAATAATAGTCCTCTGCTGATCAGGTGATGTGAATTTATCATATGGACTCTATAACTTGTGTACTTTCTTGTATTTAATCTTGCATTGACAGTTAAGATACCCAGAGCCAAAAACATAATACAGTTCTGTTGATTATATAGAACAATGTGGAACTTATTTTGTAAACTAAACTTTGGCAGAGATTATTTTGCAATAATAACAACATTCTATTATCTCTTGGTCCTGATTTCCTCCCTTGTTTATTTTTTGAAAAACTCATGAGGTAGCTCACAACCTTTTAGAGTCAATCAGAATTTAGATTAGGAAATAAGATAGGCCACAACTTGATGATTAAAGGAAGGCATGGGTCATTTAATATATGTAATAAAATAGTGTATTTTTTCTCTTTGATTTCACTGAGAAAGATACAGAATGACCAAAGAATGTTAAAGCGTCAAGTGTCTCATTGTACTGAATTGTACTTTTCATTGTAGGAGTTTTTGTCAGAAAGTGAAAACGGACAGCATAAGCTAAACGTGATGCTGTCCAAAGCAGAGCTTCTGAGTTCCCTGCTGACCAGAGAGAAAGCAGAAGGGGTCCAGGCCAAAGTCACAATGGCAAAAGAAGACTGGAAGAATTTTCACTCGAATCTCCACCAGAAGGAATCAGCCTTGGAGGTACAGTGTAGCCTACCTCATGGGCATGTTCTGTGTTTATCGTTGGGACAGTCAGAGCACACTTTCAACACATCACAGGATTTCCAGAGATTCTCACCCTCCTCCTTTGCAAATTAATGGGCAAATTGATAACTGAAAGACAGGGCCTCATGCTGGAAGTATGAGAACCTTGGGGAGTTGGATGGCTTCTTGCACAAACACTGTTGTCCCAGACCTGCCCACACATTCTCCCTGCACCTTCATATTTGAACATCGCATGGAATCTTTCATTTGAAACGCCTCAATTATGGAAACTGTTCTTTAAACATGAAAGGAGCATTTGTAAGGCTACAAAACGTTGGCTAAGCGTTCTTATGATAACTGATACAAACATCAGGCTTGGGGCATTGAGTATACAGAAGACAATGTTCATGCAATTTCATTTCCTCCAAAGACAATTTGCAACACTAGGAAATTTGCTCATAACCCTATAAGAATCATTAGAGCACCATGGCCTCCATCCCAAAGTGCCATTTATGCAGTGAGTCTATCTCTGATTGCAAGATTGTCTTAGCCAGGTGATTTCCAAGACTAGGAGAGGTTAGGAATTGGCTATCTTGTTAAACTACCTTACCCTCATGACAGGTTTAAGTCTTTTACTTGAATCATTTCTTCCGCCCGTCCTAATAGGAATAGACATACAATAATGCTTCTTGGTTGTAGGAACTGTGAGAGAAATAAGGGAGGGCAAGTCTTTTGCTTTGTCTCAGGGCCTTCACTTTCTGGAAGGTAATCATTGTTAAAGAGATGACCATAGTATAATATAAGCATGTTTGTGGTAGCAGTAGATACTCATGGAAGGATGCCACTGACTCTATATGGAGAAGTCAAGGAAGGTGTCCAGAGAGGTGACATTTATACTGCATTTTGAAGGCCACATTTTCTTTAACTTTTCCAAGACTGACATGCATTTCATTAGAAGGAATTGAATTGCAGGGCCAAGAAATTGGTAGCAACCATAAATGAGGGATGTTGAGAAGTTTGTTGAAGATATAGCATTTTGAGACTCAACAGAGATAAATGGAAATAAAGATTAGAGCTTAGAGCCAAGGAGTGAAATGTCTTGTGCATCATTTAATTTGACCTTGATTCTCAACCAGGGTCCTTCACAGGAACCCAAGACATAGTTTCCCAAGGTCAGAACCTAACATGCTCTGTTTTAGATGGAGAAAGAGAACTCACTGCAAACAACAGATGCTTCGAGGCTCTGGGACTTAGTTCTTTCCCCAAGCTTCTTTAAGAAAAACTGAGTGAGGACTTTAGAAGTCTTCAAGCTGGGGACAAGCATGTGAACTCTCTCAGTACAGTGTAAACCAGAATGGAGAATTGTGAGTGACTGGAAAACCGGAGAAAGCTTATGTAGTATTGCAGATGAGACAGATGAGGGCCTAAACTACAGAAATAATAACAGAGAAACAATTCATCACTAAAGTAAAACACAGCAGCTTTGTCATCTAACAAGATGAGGAGCACAGGGAAGCGGAGTCCTCAGTTTTTCATTGAAGGATGGCATGGACAATGATGCTGTTAACGGAGACAAATGTGGTAGAAAATGTCTTGAGGGAGTTAAAATGATTCCTTCCATTTAATACACATTCAATTTGATGTATTTAGAAGACATTTAGTGGCTAATGCAGTTGTAACAGGAATGTGAGGTTCAGGAAAGAGGAAAGAACAGAAAGAACAGTGATTATGAACATTAGTGTGCGCCTGGCCCTGTTGTGAGCACTTACACATACCGATATATTTAGTACTCAAAGCCATTATTCAGTGCTATAACTCCTTTATCACTGTCTCGTGGATGAATAGATTAAGGAGCCAGGCATGGTGGTGCATAACTCTAATTCCAGGAGACTAAGGCAGGAGGATTGTGATTTTAAAGCCAGCCTGGGCTTCACAGCAAATTCACGGCCATCCTAGACTATACAGCACCATACAGCGTATAACAGCACTGGACTATTATAAATAATAAATAAATAATTTAACGAGGAAGAAACAGGAGAGATACGAAGGTGATAAGTGAAGAAAAGGAGGGAGAAAGGAAGGGGAGGAGTGAGGGAGGAAGGAGTAAGGGAGGAACAGGCAAACTGAGGTGTAGGGTGGCTAGATACTCTACGGAATTCTCGCAGCTAAGTGACAGAAACAAGTTTAAACAAAGCACCCTGCCTTAGTGTTATATAACTACTGTTACATCAAGATAGGGATCTGCAGACAGTGGAGAAATCACTGGGAAAACCTGCAGAGTGAACATTTGGTAGGGAGCCCTTAGCCCTCTGTAGACAGAAAACGAATGAGGGTCTTTAGAGGCCTAGAGGGAATCCAGAACTTAATGTCAACCTTCGTGTACTCTTTACTGACCCTCACTTGGCACAGACCAAGTACCCAACTTGCTTTTGTGGCGTACCTCTGACTAGGTCCCTGAAATCTTTATTTGCAAAACGTAATTTTTTGTCATGGTTCCTTAGTTTTTCCTGATTGGTGGTCCCATGAAACAGCAGCCATAGAAACATGGAAACACATTGAATACATGACTGCATTCAATTATTCAGTTAGTATTTGTCCAGCATCTTCTATTTTCCAAGCACAATTCTAGACTCTGGGGACACAGGCAAAAATAAACCACAAGAAAATCCCGGCCCCTGTGGCGCTTATATATATATTTTTTTAAATTCCAATTTACTTCATTGCCCAAGGTTAATATTTTTTTTGTTTTGTTTTTTAATCATTATTTTTTTAATTTTTTTTTTCATACAGAATTTTGCGCGCCATATAGTTTTTGCACACACAACTCGAGACTCTGGGGACACACGAAAAAAAAAAACACAAGAAAAACCCGCCCCCTGTGGCGCTTATATATATATATATATTTTTTTTTTTTTAAATTCCAATTTACTTCATTGCCCAAGGTTAATATTTTTGTTTTGTTTTGTTTTTTAATCATTATTTTTTTAATTTTTTTTTCATACAGAAGAATTCATTCCAAAGCAATTGACATTGAGACGTTTCCACATGCATTTCTAATCTCTATATACATGACTATCACTGGTCACAGTCGCCAAACTTCTGAGCTCCTCGGCATCTGAGCATGAATACTAACTCATCAGATAGACAGCCTTCCTCTCCCACTAGAGGCTCCATACTCTGCCATCCCTGTCACTGTCCACTGTGTTGTCAGCACCCTCATCCATTCCCCCTGTCTGCCCTTCTGGTAAATCTAGTCAGCCAGAGGTCCCTGTTCCAGGAGGGTCAGCTGTTCCTCATCTACGGCAATCCATTGTC